ATGCATCATTTTCTTTCTCTAATTTCAAAAAAACAGCATATGAAACTGGAGAAACCACCCATTTACTTTCTCTAATTTTAAGAAAAAACAGCACAGAAAATTGGAGGAAACCACCCATTGTTGATGTAAGGCTTATGTGGTAACTAGTACAAAGTGGGAATACTCTACTTTATTCGCATTCTTTTGCTTCCTATTCTGAACAAGCATTAATCCAATAAACACTTTATTTATCAAAACGACGAATAAGAGATCAAGATCTCTTGCTCTCTACTTCCATCTACAAATGCATATAATCATAGAGACTAGTTTCTAGTGGCGACAAGAACATTTGGCATGATAGATGTGGGGATTTAAGTGACTGGCATGATTTGGCGATATTTACATCGTAATCTAGGCGAAAATGATTAAGTGAAAGCAGTGACGATTTACCGGCAGAAAAGAAAGTGAAATGCGTGCGCTACTCGTCATAGAAACAGGCACAAACTCTAGTGGTTGATTTGTGATAAACAACAATATCCCTAGTCGTTGAATAGCTACTCGTTTCACTAGCATATAATAGTCACTATGGCTCTGACTACATGGGGTAAAAATCATGGGTTCGACATTTGATGTGAAGTACCCGTTTTAGGCACCGCTACAAAATTCGTTTCATAGTTAGGGCAGTCATTTGAAAGAGACAAAGGACGGCAAGGCACATAATGCACAGCATAGGCTTATTCTCTGTGCAGCGCAGAAAGGCGTCAATCTCCGCGTCGTGGTCAGAGTAGCACGGACTGCGGGTAGTCGGACACGAGCATCTGCTCCGGAATCATCGTGTAGTGTTGCATTGGCATGTCGGCGGGATGCGGTTGCGCCGCGTAATGTACGCGGAACTCGTGCGGAATGTAGTCTGGGTGTGCATATTCTTGCTTGAACTCCGACTTGTATTCCTGGGCTTCGGCAGGTGGTGATTCGTTCTTCTTCCGTCGTGATCGGCGTTGTTCAGGAGACGAAGCAGGAGAGAGAATGCCTGTCTGGCGGTATCTGAATATAGACATGTCATAGGCGGATTTTGCATGACAGGATTTCGAAAAAATTCTGAGCTGACGCTCCAGTAATCGAAGTTTTTTTACAACTGGCAAAAGAAGAAGACTTGGTCGAAGTGGCGTTTATATATGGGATGTATAATATCTTATAGAGCATGGAACTGTGATTCCAAATCTGCTTTCGGTATCTGCAAAGCTTTTCTGGGAGGAGAGTTATGGGATTTTGAATAATTTTAAGGCACAGCTACAACATGATCAAAAAGAACTGTAGTTGTGAGCACAAATGTGGTTATGATTAGTGCCAGGGCGCTT